TTTTAATATAATTTTAATTACGACACAGCTACTAATATTTGGCTTTTAATTTGGTCTTAGAGGGGTTTTTATTTTGGTATTTATTAATTTTTTTGGTATTTTATTGTTACTTGTTTTTAATATGCTGTGCACCGCCCTGAGTCCTTCGGGAGAAGGGCGGTATATAAATCTAAACAAATAAATAAATAAATAAATAAATAAATAGTCCTGCCTTAGGCACGAAAAGTGGCTGCGTGACTGGGCCAATCACCAGGAGACCATGAGTTCTAGTCACGAAAACTGGCTGGGTGACTTTGGGCCAATCACCAGGAGACGGTGAGTTCTAGTCCCGTCTTAGTCACGAAAACTGGCTGGGTGACTTTGGGCCAATCACCAGGAGACCGTGAGTTCTAGTCCTGCCTTAGTCACGAAAACTGGCTGGGTGACTTTGGACCCATCACCAGGAGACGGTGAGTTCTAGTCCCATCTTAGTCACGAAAACTGGCTGGGTGACTTTGGACCAATCACCAAAAGATTGTGAGTGGCATGTGTGGCTCATTTGCACATGTGCTTGGGCGCCAACAAGTGCACCACGGATACACGTGGCCCACTTGTGCATGCACGTGCAGGTTACTGCCGCCATTGTGCATGCACCCGTTTGCGCATGTGAATGCAGGCTGCGCACACACACATTCCCCTTCTGCTCCCTTTCCTTCCGGGCCACCAAGCTGGAAACGTTGGGGAACCCTGGTGTAAATCAGAGGTCTCCAATCTTTCCAGGCTTGTGCATCAGAGAGCAGCTTCCAAATTGGTGCGCGCACGCGGACACACACAAACAGGGCCACCCGTAGTGGTGCAGCACCAGCAGCCCTGTTCATGCATGCGGCATGCGCTGGTGCCGTGCACATACATGAACAGCTGCACAAACCCGCACCGACGCTAGCGGCCCGTTTCACGCATGCGCAAATGGCCCACACACCTGCCCCACGCTAGCGGCCTGTTCGCACCCACATGCATGCCCAAATGGGGCCGCGGACGCTAGCGCAAATGGGGGAGAATGCCTTTTCTGAGGCCCACTGACCCCGGGCTATGGCCCATAGGTTGGGGACCTCTAGTGCAAACAGAAGGAAACACCTGGGTCAATGAAGGTGGTCTTTTTTATTGAGGACCCCTCAATTTGTCCTCCCGCTCTTCTCCTCCCACATACAAGTAATCCTCAAGTTACAATCCATTCGCTTAATGACGGTCCAAACTTATAACTGCCTTGAAAAAAGTGACTTATGACCGTTTTTCGCACTCCATGGTCACGTGATCAAAATTCGGACACTTGGCCTTTGATTCATACTTATGACCGTTGCAGTGTCCCGGGGTCATGTGATCCCCTTTTGTGACCTTCTGACAAGCAAAATCAATGGGGAAAGCCGGATTCACTTAACAACCACGTGACTCACTTAACAACTGTAATGATTCATTTAACTGTGGCAAGAATGGTCGCAAAACGGAGCAAAACACACAGCTGTCTCATTTAGCAACAGCAAGCTTGGGCTCAATTGTTGTCATAAGTTGGAGATGATGACCTGTATGTGCCGTCATACGTCAACTCTTTCAGTGCTGCTGTATTGTTACTAAACCAATAGTTGTATGTTGAGGACTACTGTGAAAGATACTAAATTTTCCCCAGGTAAATAAATGGAGGACGAGATAATTTTTTTCCTTTGCTCTATTTAAGCAACTGAATTAATTCCACTCACTTTCCGTTTTCACTGTAAGGCGTATCTATCCACAGCAGCTTCAGATCAAAACTCTGCAGATTATTCCCCTGGAAAATTTGAGAATTAAAACAGAAAAAGCCTCAGAACAATCAATTAAAAATAAAATAAAAAAACAACCTTTGAAAACAGTACAGTTGCAAAGTCAGTTTCCCTGGATTTAGCACCAGACGTTCATGCGTGTGTCTGCTGCTGGAGGGCGTTAACTGGGACACAAGGCATAAAGCCGTTTTCTGATTCCTGGGATTCTTTTAAGGCTCAGGAAGAGAGGCTGCATGGCCCCAGGTGTAAATCCCTCTTCTCACCTTGAAAGGGTCGGGGATTATGGAATGAAAACGGGTTCTTGAGATACAACAGGCTTGGGAAAACCCCAGGATTTGGAGAACTGCAATCAACACGTAGGGAAATGGAGGAGGAGGAGGAGGAGGAGGAGGAGGAGGATACTTACTCTCTCACACAGTAAAAAGTGGGAGGCAGCGGATTCTAGTCCTGCCTTAGCCACAAAAGCCAGCTGGATGACTTTGGGCCAATCACCTGGAGAGGGTGAGTTTGTAAATGCCACTGTGGGCATGAAAGCTAGTCCTTCTCTCTCTCTCTCTCTCTCTCTCTCTCCCTCCCTCCCTTTCTCTCTCTCATTCTCCCTCATTTTTTCTCTCTTTCTCTCCCTCTCATTCTTTCTCTCTCCCTCTCACTCTTTCTCTCTTTCTCCCTCTTTCTCTCTCTCTCTCCCTCCCTCTCTCTTTCTCCCTCTC